AAGCCTACACATCCTGCTAAACTTTGCAGAGGCTTCACTGTCACACCAGGATCTTTTTTGAAAAAACCTTCAGGCAAATTTACTTTCCTGTAGGCTTAGTCCTCTTCAATAAGCATCAAAAAAGCTCAGACACTATACCACCCCCATCCTCAGGAAAAGAGCAGAGTATTAGTGGTTCTGCAACCCAGTATCTCTGTCAGCTGCAGCCTCCTGTGCTCAAATGATTCCTGCAATACACCCTGGGAACAGAGCCCAGAAAAGGATATGCAAACTCCTTTACTTCTTTAGCTGAAGGCAAATACAGCTTGTCAGCAAGCGATGAACAAAAAGAGAGATCTACAGAGTTCAGCGCAGGTTAGGCACTGCAGGACATTCTCCTAGACATCTTATTTCTCTAACTTCAGGCAAAGGCTGGGAGATGCATCTAGGTTGTTTTCCTTTGCAATTCAGCCCAGATCCTCAGAATTTTCGCTGCCAAAGCAAGCTGTTCTGATAGATGGGCAAGTAACTTTTTTTATTATTATTATTGTCCTAGTAAGATAGGTTTAATAGATTGTGAACAGTTGCCAGCTTTGGAACATCAATTTTGCAAAGCTGCTTCCTACTAGTCAGAGTTGATAAGCTCTATTACTATATTAATATTTTAGAAGCAGTTGCACTGTGTGCACAGGAGACATATTCCTGCATCCTAATAGAGGATCTTTAAAAAAATTAAAAATTTTTGTACTACATTTTAGTAATTTAAAAATTGAGGTTTATAGTTTTCTCTACTTTAGAGAACATGTTTAGAGTTGTAGGAGGCTTTTTTGTCAGAATATTTTTCGTGTATGTTTATGTTAATCTTTATGCAATTACTTCACATGACTTGGTATTATCAGCAATAATGCTAAATCTGCACAGTTGCTTAGTGTCTGATGCTCTGGTAACTGTCATACTAAAGTTATTACATTACATTAGGACATTAACATTCACATGGATGCAAACAGCCTCTGGTAGAGGTTTGAGGGCTTTGTTTTAAATAAATAAAGGGACTTTTTCATTTGTGTATAAGCAGGCTTCTTACACAGACAATTTCATCAATAGTAGTGTCTTTTTTGGAATAACTCATACCACCTGTGCAACTTTTTAAAACCATATCATCGTGGGGGAAAATCAAACCTCAATTATGAAAATGTTTAATTATTCAAGTACATGAGAACTGGAAGTGATTTTTTTGTGAAGCAGCTTAGAAGAGATGAGTGGTCCACATACTTTAGTGCTTTGTTCTTATAGGCAATGTACCTATTACTAACATGATCCTTTATAACACTTACAAGTTTATTTGCATGTATTTTTACTGCATTTGCATTAGAGGAACAGCAGCTATTTGTCCATATTGCCTGTTCCTAAGAAACAGTGACCAGGAACAAAATCAATATGCCCACGTTTATATCTGGATTGGAACAAGATTATTACTCAATACCTTTGACAAGATTTTCAGGCTATTTAGCCTCTTAAAGGTAAAGATAGATCAGAGCCTACTGGAATTTCACAGATACCTAGGCAGGTTAGGTGTCTGCTTCCCACAGATTTTAAGTGTCAGGAGTACCATTTTTTAAAATGAAAATAATTTGAAGTAGATTTTTTTTAAATGGATGCTAGCACCAATTAACATAAAAAAGTGGGCACCTGACCTGCACTTCTGAAAATTCTGCTAGACTCCAACCTACAAGTTTGAGGAAAAAAATAGCTCTGAAAATCCAGGTATATGCCTTTCAAGTTTTTAAAATTAGTCAGCCATTCTCCTACTCTGTTTTTTTCTGGAGTGATTAGAAGTTTGCAGGGGGACAGTGGGGGGTGGAAACCCACACTGTCAGGCTTTTTTCACTCTTAATTGATTTCTCAAGTGTGAATGAACCAATCCAAGTTTTTTCCCCTCTCTTTGCCTGTGCTAGGCAAGCTGAAACCAAAAATAATTAAAGGAAAAGATTTTCTGCACAACAGAACCTGGAAGTACCAACATTGGAAAAGTGTAAATACCAGTATTTGCTCAACTGAGAAAATATTTAATGCAAGACACAGCATTGTGGCATTTAAAAAGCTTGAGTTGGCATTGATATAGCATATTTAAGAGATCACAGTAAATTAAAATCTTACTGGGTTGTAACTTTCAACAGGTTTATTTACCAAAATCTTTTTACCTACTCTGCTAATTAGAGAATGTGGAAATTATTCTGAAAAACAGTAATTAGTCTGGACATTTGTTGTTTCATGAATACTGGAAGCTACATACAGCCAAATACAAACCAACTCAAATGTCAGAACCATAAACTCAAATCAAGCTTTTCGTCTTCCCAATAAAGCATCATTATTCTGTTGCCATGAAACAGAAAACAAAGCTGTTTGATACGTGTTTTAAAGGAGAGTTTGTTACCCAAACTTAGGTAAGCAAAGTGCTTGTTAACTAACATGCTCTTTGATGGGATTTTTCAGAAGTGAAAGGACAATATTGTCTAGGCACTTAAACACTGGTTTAAAAAAAGGACAAGATAACACAGCTGTACAATGGTTTAATGTAACAGAATGTGGTATATAAAGTTACAACCTCCTCCTGCCCCCAGTGGAGGGGCGAGCAGGGGGGACAGTAAAAGTACATCAGTGCAATTGCTGTGCCAGCTGCCATCTTGGGTTAGATATTTGCCCCAAAATAGGCTTTTATCTGTTCTCCCACTACTTAGCAGCAAGGTACTGTAATAATACCTACTGTGGTAGCACTCAGGACAGCTAGTCAAAGCTAAATGAACACACTCTGGGCAAAACTGAAACTTACATTCATGACTCAGGCGCAAAAATCCAATGAAAGTAAAATGATTTGGCTGCACAATGTCCATAATACACAAGCATTAAAACTTGTTTCCTGCTGCATTTGCTACATTTGTCAATTTTCTCACTGGAGAGCTTCTGGATGGAAACTTTCAAAGTACCAAAGAGAGTCAGACACCAAAATGCTCTTGAAGGTTGCACACAGCTGATTCTGCATCAGCGAACCCCTTTTTAATACAAGAAAACTTCCAGTATATTTGAATGATTTGGCATTTATTGAACAAGTTTAAAAAGAAAAAACTGATGTTCTCCCACACTCACACCCCTTTTCAAAAAGAAAGTGAAATAAATGCCCAACTTAAGTCTGAAATAGACTGCTACACAGACCTCATCAACAGCTTATTTTGGCAAAGGATCCGCCATTTTCACATTCACATTTCAATACCAGAATGTAAAAAATTCTGTTACATGTTTAAGAGTTATGCACTTCTGAAAGGTGCTACAAAATCGTTTTGTATTTTGTTCATTTGTGGGTTGAATCCTTCTAAAAAGCATTATAGTGACAAAAGTCACACAGAAATGCCAACTCCCATGTAAAAGCAGGATCTCATGCATTTATTTGGAAAATGAATGAGAAGTTACTCAATCAACAGCTAGAAATATCAAAATCTTCACTGCATTTTAACCAGGATTACTATTCACGTGTTTGGTTTTCACAGGCTTTATTTTGACACAGAACATTTTCAGGACAATCCTCTTCTAATATTTAGAAGCTTAAGGCCTCCTTCAGCACCAAATAACAAGGTGTTTCATGGATGAGACATGGGATGATAAAATGCCACTGACTAAATTGTTTGAAAATAAAATATGGAGTAGCTGGATAAAGTTTCTCTACTTTTTGTTGCTGGGGGTGGATCTAATTTTTATAATGACAGACTGAGACAAAAGCTTACTCAAGTCATCAGTTCTTTAGAGACTGAAACAAGTGCCCAGCTCTCCTAAAAATGGGACATTTTCAGTAGAAGTAGTAAGGTTAACTAGAAAAAAAGCTGAACAATTACATATCAGAACGTACTGAAGTTCAAAGGCAGATATGGGGAAAGGGGAGGGGGTGGGTTTAAAAGGAACATTAACAAAAAAAGAAGCAAGGGCAGCTAATGAAGACATGGAAACTCACTCTCAGGAGTAAGAATACTCAGAAGGGCTGTATTAGCTAATAATCCGATTCTTCCTGCAAGCATTCAAGAGTTTCATGCACCAAAATATAAAACACACAAGATCATAATGAAGACTCAAAAATTAGAATGTGAAAAATAGGTAGGTAAGGTTCTTTGGGTAGATGTAATATCTTGTATTAGACCAGCTGAGTAGTTGGAAAAAAGTTCTTTGCAAACTTTCAGGTGCAATCATCCTTCTTCAGGCATAGGGAGTCTCTGCTGTTCTGAGATCTTCAAGGAATGAAAGAAGCTAAAAGTGTGACAGGATGTCAGTGAGAATGTAAATAGGTGGAAATTTGGCAAACAGAAAAGGTAGAGAAGGGAAGGGAGGAGGGGGGGAAATGAGAGGGAAATAGTGCCAAAAGGTAAGTAAAGGAGACTCTACTGTAGTTGAGTTCTACAAGATAGAAAAGAGGCAGTCTGTGAAAAAGTAAATAGCTGAATATTAAGAAGACAAAGGGTAGAAAGAGGGGAGGAGAGGAAGGGGAGGAAAAAGTATAGATGTTAAGGTCAGGCAGGTACCTGGTGAATCAGATGTCAGGCTACTCAGTTGGTCTAATAAAAGATATCACATCTGCTCAACGAGCCTTGCCAGCCTACGTCCTTAGACCAACATGGCTACAGCCAAAAGCCCTAGAATGTGAAAATGGAATTTGAGGTTGAGACCAGGTTCTTCTTACCCGTTTTCCTTTAACCTGCAACACTACGATGAACTAGGATTGGCACTTATGAGCTACAAGGAGCCTCCCACCATTCAGCTCTTGTTCAATAACACACATTTACTAAGTTTATTTCCTTCCCACCATGATCATTTATGAAGCATTAATACTTATTATCTTCTCTAACTACATACTTCAGTACCAAGCTGCCTCTTCAGTTCAGTCACAACAGCACAGAGTATCATTCATCACCAAACAAAAGAGAACTTTTTCCAACATGCCATTAACACAAAGCATAGGACAGATTACAGGACATTTAACAGGTTATGTTAGACCATTTGACTTTCACCTCTAGAAAAAAAATGTTCTAATTCTGATTAGACAAGAAACTGGAAGTAGCTATTTCCCCAGAGATGGGACAGGGGCAGGTACAAAGGCAGGGATTATCACAGCTGGTGTTTCAAACAAGGTCTAGAGCTGAAACAGAAGGGGAAGGTACTGATTAAGATTCAGGTGCAATGACAAAGCACTGTAATGAAGCTTAACATGCATACATCCACACCATATCCATCTCCTAAATGGTTGTGCCTCTTCCATGCTCTGCTAAGATTCACCTCAAAACGATTAGTACAGTTATAGAAGGGGAGGCTACCTGCTGATAATGGGCTGGCAGGAGACCTGCCTAGCATTGACACCAGGTTTCCAACTACCTCCCTCAAAGACATGCAAACACTAAATGATTTGGTTAAGAAGTAAGTCTTCCTATTCCCTCAGCTCTTTAAGAACCACAGTGTTTGTTTCAAGGCTCAATGACAAATCTCATTTGATATATCCCAGTATAGAAGTGAGCTGCATCACAACAGAAAGTTGCAAGTATGCTGTTAGCATGAGTAATTTCTACCTGTGATACTGCAGTTGCAGCAAATATAGCACATCATTATCAAGAGATGGGAAACTGACCTCCTTCCTTCCCTCCCACACAAAGGCTGCAGATGTGCCAAAGACTCCAAATAATATAAATACATATGGTGTCACAGCTGCAGTCAGCATATCAGCAGCTCAGCTCCTAGATTCTACAACAGACCCATGTGCGAGGATACAGATTCATTATTGGGACTTGCCTGCCACCCAACTGCAGAGAGCAAAAAAAATGGAACTGGTAGTTTAAAATGTGTTCTTTTATCTTTGTACAAATGTACATAAGACGGATCCCCAACAAAACGAAACAACTCCCCTCCCCAAAAAACTCAGCATACAAGCAAGAACACCCTGAAGGTGGCAGATACTGAAAATAATAAACTACAACTCTTCTCTCCAGTTTTTTGGTGCAAATCAAAGTTTGCTCATAGATAAGGAAGACATGTAACAAGGTTTATTATTTTGCATGTTCATGCAGTTGCATCTGCTCATGGTACTCATGGTACTAGTGGCCTCTGGCCATGATCAGGAACAAGGTATAAAACAGATGCCAAAATCCAGAGAGGTTTAAATACTATCAAAAGTAGTTTATGACCACAATATTAGAGAGCTTGCAGAACTATTGGACCCATTGCTATAAAGGTGCATCTTTATCTTCTAGAATTAATATCCTTGAAATGGAAATGTTTTGTATTACTTTTAGCAGTTTAAGTTGTATTTATATTAATAATGTAATACAAAATCTACATGCCAAAAGTTATAATATGAATATGAAACCTAATTTCCACAAAACACAATACAAAACACTTCCCTTTCTCATGTCAACACTGTTTTTCATTGCCAGGTCTCTTCCGAGGGCACAAACGCTCTAACAACATAAGTTACCCATCAACTAACCCAGTATGACTTATTCAACTTGGGTCATCAATATGAAGAACTTAATCATACCTTTCAGTGCTACACAGTAATCAGACAGGTCTCACATTCTAGTTCATAGTTCAGTTAGTTAATCCTTTGGCTCATACTCACCCACCTACTTCAGGTAATCTAGGCTAGTAGTCAAGACACACTCTTTGCTTGTTCCATGAAAGGTTTTTAATGGAAAGAGAAAGGAAGCTTTGGACTATATAAGATTGTTTAAGCATATTAAAAAGTCCACTAGAATTGCAGCACGTTAAAAGTTTCTAGAATGCTTTTCACACTTTCCTTAAAAAAAATCCTCATTGTGCCTCATTGCATGGAGAAATCTTTCACTGGCTTAGCCAACAGAATTAACGTCACGTACTAGATGCTGTTACAGAAGTGCAGCTGAAAGCTTGCAGGATCACTCATTTGCTCAGCATCCTGAGTTTTGCAGGAAAATAAAGAGCTAGTTTGACAAAAAGCAGCTGTTTCCCACCCCACCATTTCCCCTGTCCCCACAATGGTCTTGATCCAAATATAAGTTATGGTGTTTTCAATGTACATATTCATTTCATGGTGCACAGATGTGAAAATGAGAAAATATAATGCAGGGTCTTCTTAAAGAGTCTCCCAAAAACAAAGAAAACCTTCAAGAAGTTTTATGGCAAAGTCCAGAAGTAGTCCAGGGCAGTGTTTGGGTATCACTAGAGATTTAAGGACTATTAGGAACAATGTGGCCAGCCACAAACTGTTTCACAAAAGGCCATAACAGCATACTCTGTTGCCAAGGTTGAGTGGACAGACTGAGATATTCCCTGTAAGAGGTTCGTTTCTTTCTTTTAAAAAAAGATCAAGAAAGAGCACAGACAGTCATGCAGCTGAACGCCGACGGATCACAAAAACCCCTCGCTGAAGCTGTCCCAGATAAATCCTCATTTTTGTGCTGTCACTGGTTTTCCTCACCCAAATCTGCACAGAAGAGATAAAATGGAAAGACCCCAAGATTAGTCATATGAAGAAAAATGTTTCAGGGATCCTTAATATCAGCCTAAGAACAGATCTTTCTATTCCTCCTGAGAAAATGGAAAACATGGTTTTAAAGAAAACCACACACACCACCTTGCTGTAAGAGGAAATAATCTATCCTACCACCAGCTTTTTCTCATCTACTTTCTGACCTCAATAACTAGAAGAATTACCCTTCCTTAGCATCATCAGGAATGCAGAGGTCTCTTTCATGACCGTTCACAACAGGAAGCTTGATTAGCTAAAGCTGAATGCAAGAATAAGTCTCCCTAGACCCACAGATCATAAAATTACCTGTCCTGGGATTTGTTCAGACAAGTAACTATGAGTCAAATGAAAAGCTTGCTCTGATTTTGTTCAGTGAAGCATTTCCCACAATGCATTAAATAAATTGTATTTGAAGATTAAAAAAAAAAAGTGCTTGCTTTTTAAGTATCTGCACTGAAAAATTCTTACTACTGCAGATATACAAATATATTTAAAATGACAAATTGCTTCAACAGAAAAAACCATTCAGAATACTTTTTTAAAAAGGTAAATCAAAGCCACTGTCAAGTTTAGATTCCAAATACCAGAGACCTTTACAACTGACTGAGAAAAAGGTTTCCTGTTTTTTTAATGTTGAAGATATGTACACTGGCAAGAGAACTTGCATTTTTAAAATGCCAGTGTTACCCTATCATTTAGAACTTTATGATCCTTAATGTTAATTGTAATAACGCTAATCAAATTAGCCATTTCAGGATTTTTAATAATGCATCCGTTGGCAAATTGCTACAACTCATTTAAATAATCAGCCAGTGAACCTAATGATTTTTCCATAATTATTTTCATTATTGTAACAAAAATAATTTCCATTTGTGATTTATTTTGTTAAAAGGAAAAAACTATTTTATTACCAATGTCGATATACATTAGAGGTATTGTTTTGGTTGATTAAGTTTATTGAAATCAAGAACCCCTACACCAACTCTTTAATTTCTTAAAAAGGGTAGTAATTCACAATGCCACATACGAACTTTCGTTGCACAATTCTGACATATTTCTCATATGCCAAGTCTGTGTTAGATGTTAATTCATATCAATCCTAGCTGCCCACCCCTTTTAGGTCCCAACACTGCTGACTTAATCCATGATAGGTATATGTAGGTTAATAGCTAGGGAAAACAGTCTTCCTACATCTAAATTTGGTGACCAGATTTCAATTGAGATGCCTCTGACGCCTCACTGGTGTCTAGATTTTTTGGCGGGGTTGGTTTCTTTTTATGTTTGATATTAAATGTAAACAAATATTTTTGGTAAGTTAAGTACTGTTTAAGTAGAGATTTTAAATCCATCACCAGACAGATGCAATTCAAATGTCCTTCATGCTTCCTAACCAATTCCACAATTTGGGCATGGTAGGATCACCATCGCCATGGGTAAAACACATTAAGTTTCCCACCGCATTAGCCTTCTGCCTTTCTTGAATGCAGACTACCATTTTCTTAATGATGTTGTGACAGATTCTTATCTACCAAAGACTAACCCATGACCATCAACATCTGTTTGATTTCAGGCACTAAATCAAATTTGAGTCCTGCTGCCAAAAGCGAGTTGCAACTTTATAGAATAGGGTCACCTCAAGAATTCAAGCAATTAGATTCTCATTCTGCAGTCCCACTTCTTGAGGGAAGTGGTCAATGTAAGTAATGAGAAGAAATCAGCAGAAGACAAGAGTATAACATGCTGCAGTTTTACTAGGCTGACTGAATACCAAAAGCACCGGTGAGCAAATATGAAGGGGAATAATCCGTCAAGACACATGGAAATACTGCAAATTCAAATCAACCATAAAAACTTACATTTTTAAAACCTGCTAATAACACAGATTGCTGCCAGTGATGTTCTCTCTCATGAAGACTGTGGAGCAAATAGTTGTTCAATTACACTTCAGATTTTTTGCTAACTCCACACAACCATACCTTCCCACAAAGAAGAAGGTTGCTATCCCAATGGGCAATCTGAATCATGAATACAGATGTCTTTTTAAGCCCTACCAAACAATTAGCTGCACTAATCCATGCTACTGTTTTATTGTTACTAAAAGTAAAACCACCTCTTACCTCATTGGCTCCCACAGAGCTGATCACACAGCTGATCTTAGTGTTCTCTTTCGACTCGAGGTAAATAGCCTGGCTCTTGTGATACCTGCAAAAAAGCAATGGATACAACCATTAGCCACTGCTGAGGTCTCATCTTCTGCTGGTGAAGGCTCATAAAGCAAGGAGTAGCTTGATTTATGTTTATCTGAAGGAAAGAAGCAACTAGTTCAGACTATATAATCTTTTAGGAAGTTAGAGAAAAAATAGATAAACTTTAAAAAAAAAAAAACAACTTATGCTATTAACACAAAGAAATAATAAGAAATTGCATTTCTTCAGGAGTAAAACTGGCTCCTGACAATGAAGCACTGAAACAAATTTCAAGCCCCACACTTATTTTTTAACCAAGGTGCAGCTTTCCAGCTCTGCTGGTCTTCTGGCAGCATCCTACCCCCAGCTAATCTCTTCCTCCACCAGCTTCCTACAAGACTTCAGTACCCAAGCACCAACACTCAGCTGAACTTCCCCTACAGCAGTTTCACCAGGGACCCAAATAAGGTTGAGCAGATGGTGGCTCAATGGCTCTATTCTGGCAATGTCAGGAAATACTATGAATCATGAATTACCAACAGGAGCTGCAGCATCACTGGAGCTCAAACCTTGTCCATGGAATCAAAGCTCCAAACTGCCTCACTAGGGACATAGCCTGAGACTTACTATTGGCAACAGATACACTTGGAGTACTAGAACTTTTGGTGCCAAGCGAGCTGCTTTAAAACTGCAAGGAGAAATGTACACATACAATGTTTTAATACTTCACTCCTCAATTCCTTGATTTTCTTAATACCCAAACCTGTCAGTTAGAGTCTGTATTAGGAAGAAGGCAAGCCATCAGTTCATAGGCACGCTGTATTTAAGCCTGCCTAGGTTTTCTTGCTTATATAGCATACTAGGTAAAATATGGTCTTATTCTGTCTAAAGCATTAATTAGCAAAAGGGGAAAAATGTTAAAAAGTTCCCCAATTCATACCGCTTTCACAAGCTTAGTTTCAAAGTCCCAGATTTTGCTTTCTGCATGGAAGGCCCCTGTTACACATTACGCATATTACACAATTAACTAGTTAAATGTGCAATAAATTTAGACTGGCCACATGTGCAAAGACAGACAGGTCACAAGCACAAAGTAATTATCACACAACTAACTGGTTAATTGTGCAATAAATTTAGATTAGCCACGTGTGGAAAGTAATCATCACACAATAAAAATTACTATCCAGCTATAAAAAGAGCCAACTAACTATCAAGTTAGTGCTGGAAAATGTATAACAACTCTATAGCTGATTTCTTTAATATAAATGTGTAGTGGGGCCTGAATATACACTTATTAATAAAGCATGCCAGCAAAGCTCTTTGGTCTCTGTGATTTTCCCAAAGAGAATTCTGTAAGCGGAAGTCACATAATAAATTATCTGTTTCAGTGTAATTGGGGACAATCTTAGAGTAGTGAGATGCTCTATAGTTAGAGAAGGATAAGATTTTCACCTCTGCTCTTATTATATCACTTTAGGAAATACTTGGCTCTCACATAATTTCTGGAGCCATCATGGCTTAATTTCTGGACCATCGCTCTTACACATTATGGTACACATGATGCTTAGCTTAGATAGATAAATTGCAGAATTCACCCAGTACTTGCTCAGTATGCATCTCCTCACACTCCAGTTGGCTAACTGCCATTTGTCATTATGCAAATCCTTATATTATTGTTATGGTTAATTTCCACAATAACCACAGTGTAGACATGGAAATCTCTAGCAACTGAATCTACTCTGTTCTATTTTGCTTGGTTCCCATACTCCAAACTGATAGGTTGCTTCCCAGTAACAAAGATAATAGGCTCGGTTTCACTCCCTTTAGATGCAGCAAAAATATTCTACCACACTAAATTCCAAATAAAACAAAAAAAACCTGCAGCCAAAAACCTGGGTTAAAAGAGGGCACAGGCAAGGGATTATGATGAGTTTCATGTTGAACTTCTTCAGGTGGGAACTTCAGCAAATTCCCAGGAAGCTTACTAGTAACCATAGTTTGGGCCAAGAGCTCTGTTTATTCAGTTAAAACTTAATTTCTGTCACTCCAGCTGGAGAAGCTGGGGACTCATTTGCCACCTGGGAGTGGCTCAATGATCTTCAGCCCAAATTCAATCAACTGTGTTGGCCAATGCCATTGCCAGCCACCTTCAAAAGTGGCAAGAGCCCCCTGTAACAACAAGGATTTTGAGCAAGGAGTATGTGAAGAATGGTATAATTTCCATCAAAATGTTTAGAACCAATATCCTCCACAAACCTTTTCACCAACAGAACTCAACTGTGCTTTGCAAAATTAAAATCTGGCACTGCAACTGGCTATGACAACATGCACCGAGAGTTTCTGAAACATCTCAGTCCTTGAGCTTGTAATTGGCTTCTACTCTTCTTCAAACATACTATGCATAAAAGGATGAATTCCATCAGTATGGTGCCAAGCAAAAACCATTGGCCTACCCAAGCCTGGCAAAGACCCACAACCAGCAGCAAGCTACCAAACAAACTTGATCCTGTGTGTCCAAATACATGACACTAGTTCCAATACATGAGAGACCAGCTCTGCAAAATTTTTCCAGTAATTGATTCTGCCCTAAACCCAGACCAAGCTGGATTCTGCCATGGCTGGAGCGCATGCAATCAAGTTCTAGCCTTAACCACTTTAATTGAAAATGGCTTCCAGAAAAAACAGAAGACTGGTGTCATCTTCCTTGATTTAACAGCAGCATATGACACTGTCTGGCGTACTGGTTGTCACCGCACCACACAACTCAGCTCCCAGAACTCCTGGGAGCAAGAGGTTTCCCACCCCGACTAGCCCCAAGCAAAGGGGGAGCTCAGCTCAGCAGGGGCTGAGAAAATACTGACCTCCCTTCCAGTTGCCTGGGGCAGGAATGCCAAGACTCATGTGGCATCTCCTGCATGTTTTAAAAGCACACTCTCCTTGTGTGTGGGAGGGTGGGTGTGCTTCTGCTAATGTCATAAGAAGGTGTGCGGGGCACCAGCAAGCCGTGGACACTGGCATACCCAGCTGTCCCAGCTGCAGGGAGCATCCCTGTGACACCAGAGGAAGCCAGCACAGGCAAGCAGGCAGAGAAAGAAGCCTGCGCAGGCAGGCATGGTAGCAAGGCAGCCTGCACATGCCGGCATGACATTGGAGGGGCTGGCATAGTCACCAACAAGGCAGTGCGAGGGGCACTGCCCTGTTGGAGAGCTGACAATTAAGCCCCTGAGGGCAACAGGTGGGAACCGCTGCTGGAGAGAACCCACCACTGGATGTCAGGTGCACCTATAAACTTATAAATCACATCTCCAGAAAACTGCTTTAAAAAAAAAAAAAGAACCAAAACAAGGAATAACCTACTTGCCAAACTTGCAGGCTGCACTTGAACATAGCATGGAGGCACTGGCATCCCATCTGCTCTTGCTCTGTGTTACTCAGTTGCAGACTACTATGCCCCTGTATGGGCTCCCAGCTGCATGTTACAATGAGTCTTGTGTCACACAAATTACATCCCACTCCATTCTTAATGTTACCAGTCCTCAGTAACATTACTCCCCTCATCTCTGCCACACAAATATTGAAGTAAACTTATTAGCCAAACTCTGTAATTATCCTATGCCCATTGGGACACATTCCACCCACCAATAGCTCGGCTGCCCTCAAGATGTCCAATGTGGTTTTGAAAGGGTAGACCCTTTCAAAACCCTTTGACTTTTCCTTCCTTACTTGATGGCACAAAGAATGGTCAGCACAAACCCCAATGAACTGCCACAACATCTCTGATCCTACAGTGAGTTAACCAGGATTTAACTGACTGCACCATTATTGGGCACTTCTCTACCATTTTTTAACTGGACAGGGTGACTGTACCTCAACCCTATACCAATGGGGCCTTCGCAATAACAACTTCAGTGGACAAATTTAAAACATGTTCCCCATCGTTGACTCATGTCCATTTACTATACCACCTGGTGGCTTTCAAGCTCATCACACTGGTCATGACATCACCTTAAGAAACAATATGCCAAATAATATGGCTGGACAGGCATCTGGCTGGAGTCATCTGACCCCAGCACTCTTTCCTGCCTAGGCAGGGGGTCGGCCCCCATGATCTGTTGAGGTCCCTTCTGACCCTAGCATCTATGAAAGCGAAAAAGCTAAATAAACTAAAATTCAGTTATGATGGCCTCTGATGGCTGTTAATAGACAAGGAACACCTCAAGGTAATCAAAACCCTCATTATGGCAACCCAGGCCTCTCTGTATAAAAATCCTACTGCCAATGAACAGAAAGCATTAGTTCACCTGAATGGAAAAAAATGGTGATTTTTGTACATCTATTAAATGCACAAAGTTTCCTATCTCACACACAAAACAAACCAACTGTCCCTTTCTGACAAGGTCAGAGGCAGGGGTGGAGAACACACTACTACTTAAGACTACCTTGCTCAGACCCCATACATAGTGCTACATAGAAAAGCCAGATCTATACAAACAGCAGGGACTCATTAACAGAAGTGGGCTGGTCGGGGAAGCAGCGGGGGTACCATGTCTATTAGGTTGATAAACATGGCTTTATCTCTGCAGCTATTCAATGTCTTTCAGAAAAAAGAAGAATGGACTAAGCCAAAGTTGTCAGGGAATGCAAGCTAGCTCGCATAGAAAAAAGGTGGGGGGGAAAGAAAACCTCTAAATTGCAGAATTCATCATGTTTTGCTCTTTTTTCAAAGTTTTTTTTAACCAAATGAAAAAACCAAGAAGCAGACACTCAAAAGTAGTATGAATCTTACTTTCTACTAACATATTGGACCCAAACACTGGCAAAATCCTCATTGAAAGGACTTCTTCACAAAAATCACTGGACTGTAGTACAAGCAACAAGTAGAACACAAACCAAACCTAACGGAGAAGCATGCTGGAGGCAAGAGTGGTCACTAATAGAAGCTTCTCAAAAATGAAATTCTCTCTAGCTTGCCATATTACGAGCTCCTAAAAGTTAAAAAGGTTTCACTGCAAGCAGTGTTTTAGGAGCAGGGGACAAAATGGCTGAGGTAAAATTATTTAAGTTATTATTCAACGCCCAGCTGCGATTCCTGCAACTAATTCTCCATTTTGTGAAATAAGTTTGCCAAATGCTGCTACAAGACCTCAGGGAGTCCATTTCTAGCCTTAAACATTCACTATTTTGAGATAATTGTCCTTTATGTCTGCTGTCAGGGGGAAGAAAAAGTAGTCACTTCTGAGCTGTCAGGTTTCATTATTTTTGGTGCATGCTAGCAGCTTCAGGTTTAATACACATTTAAAAAAAAAAAAAAAAGATTACCCTCCCACCACCAAGAGTTACTTTGTTATTTTAAAATATCAGCTACTTTGCAGAGGCACTATTACTATCAATCAAAACCTGAACAGAATTATTACAGCAAAATGTAAAATAAAACACCTATCTTAAAACAGCACAGGACCCAGGAGAAGGGGAGGGGAAGAAGGTAACAACCAGAAACCTTCACAATGAAACCCCACGACAAAAGAATGCAGCAAGATGAAAATATTTGTGCTAACATGCCACATGTCCAATGTTTTAGGGAGTCCTTTCACGCTTTTGTGAAACTCCCCTGGGGTCAGTCACATACACTTTACTTTAAATTTGGTGGGAGTTTCCTCTGACTGAGAAGTGCAGAACTGAGCTCTTTGCTCTGAAGAACGATATTATAGAAAGAAGTTGTAACTGTGTTAGAGTTCATGGATCCTTAAAAGTTCTGAGGTGTGAGAGTGACTAGAATCAACATACCCTGGTTTCAGAAACAGGGTGAAAGGATAGTAGTTTTAAATAAAACAAAAGGCAAAAAAACAGCAAAAACACCCGAACAATTAAGAGCAGAAATAACTTAATTTAGTTTTGCAAATTCAAATTATTTTTTTTATATTACTTACAACACAAAAACAGAATCATACCCTAACATTCTGTGAAATAGTGTCAGGGAATTGGAAAAATAAACTTAAGAAGTCTGTAAAACAACTGCTGTGCTAAATCAGGTACTTCCATTGTCATCTCCCACCTAACAGCTGGAAAGAACAGGCCAGAAGTCTGACAGGAAAATGAACTACATCTAGTGTGTCCAATTTGAATGCAACTCATTTCATACCATTCTTTCAGTGACGTAGTTGAAATGGCTCGGAAAACCAAGAAAAGCTATCAACATATCAAACTATTCCCCAAACAATTAAATAGTCTTGCAAACTGCTTGCTATTTAAAAAGTAGATTGCTTCCTTGATTACTCACACTTGCATGTTTCATAATTTCATAGGATTAGGTTTAAGACTCAAGGAGCTAACATTTTTGCAAAAAAAACCAAAAAACAAATAACCTCCTGATATATCATGATGCTTCCCTAGCTACACACTCCTATAAAAATTAGAGAGAAATCAGATCATTATTTCTGAAGCTGGGTCTTATGTGTGGGTTTGATCTGTAAAGGTTATTTGCCTTTTGTTATTACCAACATTTTTCATTCAACTTTGCTGGCAAGTAATTTTATCACACTCTGCCACCTTGTGGCACACATACCACAAAACTCAAACACAAGAAACTGCTGTAACCCAGCTGGTTACATTACTACATTTGGATAACAGTGAATTTCTCGGTGGTTAACCTTCCTAATAGTAGGGCTGCATGTTGTTAATGTTAGTTTCAACAGAAATGCTTGAGTAGTGTTGTAGTACATAACAGAGACCCAGAGATAAGCTTTATATACTAGCTATAAGCATCCCTCCGCATGTCAATGTGTGCTAGCAAACATAGTCAAAGATGTATAGAAAGCACAAGCTTAGGTTGCTTAAGTGGCTAGAACCTGCTTAGGAACATCTTGGCCCAAGATGCCTTTTCCAAAGCAGGTTCTTTCCACTACTTTTGTCTTTACATAGAGTGACCCTGGACTAACAGCAAGGACTTCACTAAGACCTACCATCTTTTATCATAGTAGAGTTTGCCATCTTCTATGCGGGCTTCAAACCGCTGTGCTGGAGATTCTGCAGGTGTAGCTGGCAGGTGCTCTGGAGAGGAAGGAGATGCTAAAACAGAAAAAAAGACACAAAAAGCCCAACCATATTGCATGTTCAGACTAGCATGAGAACACTGATGGGTCTTTGATTGTGCAGTCAAAGCTGAGCTTTAAATATATTAATACAACTTCACTAATTCAAGGGATGCAATATAAGTACAGGGAACTAGGGACTTGAATGTGTATTTCTGATCCAACGTTTTCTCTTTGGCCAAGTCATTTAAAAATCACTCTTTCCTAGGCCACAAGGTGGGAGTAATATCTATTTTCAAAAGAGCTGCTGCTAGGTTAGTCTGCAAAGAATTTTGAAGGGTAGAAGCATTATTGTTTGACCGTATGGATCTTAGAATGAGCTTTTTCCGCCTGATCTTATGTAACTGAATGCATGAAAGAAAGATGAAATAAAGCCAGGTAGTGCACAACCAGACTACAGTAACTGTGTGCAGAAATAACTTGACTCATTTTCCGCCAAACGGTGAAACACAAAGATCAAATGCCAGCCTCCAAAATAGAGGGGGTTTTAGGCATCCTACCTATGTATGTAATGAAAGAGACTTCACCATCAAATTGCCTTTGTATGTTCTCATCTACATATTTAACAGACATCTGCATAGTATGATTACACCCAAAAACAGGAGAAAGAAGGGACAAGACAGCACTTAAAAGAAGTAAAGCTGCAGTGTTCACTCGAACAGATAGCTACTTAAAGAAAGACTGAAAGCTCCAGTTAAAAGACTGTACTTGTTGCAAACTTTTAGCAAATGTCACAAATGTATGCTAACAGGGGTATAAATACTACTATAATCATTCACTTACCTGGTCTCTTGGGTGATTTAAGCTACGTAAAAAGAAGAACAAGGCACTTTTAGAAACTGGAGATACAACTTGTATCACAAAAAGCACTAATGTGAAAAAGTAAATGAGACATAAGCACATCAAGGGAGAACATTACTTCAATGCCATATTACTTTCTAATTTTTTTCAGGTTCTAAGTATTCAGAGCGTAAGACTTAACAGTATATAAGACTCAAAGATATAAATCATCAGGATCATGACACTAAAAACCTGGAAAATTAAGTTCTGCAGCTTCCTCTTGTCAAATAACTGACTCTTCAACTGCCCAAAAAACCAAGCCCCACCATTCTTTCAATGTGTTCAAATCTAGCTTTGGAAAACAATTAACTGGTGGTGAGCAATTAATATTTAAAATTATTAAACTATCATCACTGGTGAGAGAACTGAAAGCACACTTCAATCACCTTACACAGATTTCCACAAGCCTCTTTCAGAATCCTGTATGTGGAATTGCTTGGAAATTTGTTCATCTAATCAAGTCTATCTAGAAAAGCTAAATCTTTTATATAACGAAAGAATACACCTTTCTGGCTTTTAGAGAAATGTGCATAGAATAACAACAAACTAACAGCCAAGGTACAGATGCAAATCTACAAGACTTGTATGCTGTCATCCCCACTTTATGGTTCAAAAGTGTGGACTATATATGGTAGGCACATCAAGAGACTGAACAGCTTTCACATGAGATATCTGCCTAAGATCCTGAAAATAAAGTGGGAAGAAATAATACCAAACACAGAGATATTGGACCACACTGGACTGACACACTTAGAAATCACTATCAAAAAGAAGAGATTGTGATGGATTGTTTATGTCAAGAAAATGGGTGGAGACCATATCCCCAAGAATATTTTGTAGAGCGAGATTCAAGACCGCTCTAAAAAGTGGTTCTGACATAGAAAGTGGCCCCATGATGTGCGCAAAAAGTATATGAAGTCATTCAACATAAGCATAGAAAGCTGGGAGAAGAGGACAGGATCCCATCCAATCTGGAGGGAACATCTGGCACTAGATCAAAGCCGCTTCACATTGAGCTTCATCCAGAGAATGGATGCAAAGTGAGAAAGAAGAAAGCAGCATGCTGTAAACTTAGACTCCGACTCAGACAATGTATGGATCTGTGAAACTTGTAATAAAGCTGTGTCGTTTACGAATTGGGCTTGCCAGCCACAAACTGATTCATCAGACACCTGACTAGACCTTAGGTGTAACACCATGATCCAGACAATTGCTTACTACACCTTAATGCATCCATCCTGCTCCCTGTAAGCATTATGTAGAGTGAAATAGGGAAACCCAAGGTGTCTTGATTTTAAGCCCTGTGATGTAATGTAAGCATGCATCAGTGTTTATGCAGTCAGATGAAGGGCAAAGTCATTCAGGTGCCTAACTATTTGTTCTGATCAGAGCGGGCATATAAAGGAAGTTTGTTAGAAACTATTACCATTTTTTGTAGGTACATTCTAACCTGTTTAAAGAAAAGGAAAGCACCAAAGTCTTGATACATCTCTAATCATGTTAAACAGTGGAAAAATATGAGAAAGCCTACTTAAGAATGACGCAAACGGAGTGGAATTAGACTCCAATTCTTTCAGTGAAGAATTTTATGTTTACCTAGATGAAGCCACTTCCTACCTTATTCAGCGTTCTGAGGTCCTCCATTATTTGTTCATCTGTTAACAGATAATTTAACTGGGGTAACCAGAATTAAGGTTCACATAAACAAGGTATTTTGGACTAGCAAAGGCAGAAGCCAAACAACCCAATGGCATCTCATTACAGCAGAACATGAATGGATAAAATGTCACAAGAACATCACCTAAAGCTATAGAATTCAAGCCTAGTTATAACTAGTGCATCACCAAGACCTGTCACTGCTGGATACAAACACATACACTAAACCCATCTTAACCATTTCCACTAGCAAAAATACTTTAGACAAAGACATTTACTCTCTCCAAATACAACAATTGCTAATATGATCAGTCTTTTTTCTCTTGCATTTAACAGGGGAATACCTGCTGGCACATGAGCTGCAAGATATCGTCAGCCTTTTGCAACCCAAATCTGAGGTACAAGCAGAGAAGAGAAAGAAAAAATCATTACATCTTAGGACAAAACAAAATATTGTCTGAATAACAATTAAAGAAGTATCATCAACTTGAAATATAGTCAGGATTCTTGTTGTTTATTAAAAACACCCACTCTAAGAGTTCCAATGGAAATTTTTGTAGTTTAACAATCACATTTTCCTTTAACTCTTTCCTAGTGTCTTGATGTTTGAGTACTTGACCCAACAGCAAAAATAACTGTTGTAGCCTGAAGTTACAGGCTACAAAAGCCTGAAGCCTTAGGTGTTACTTCTAAAGCTGAAAAGTAAAAGTATTCAGACAGACTTATCATTTTTTAAGCAACTGCACTTTAGAAGGCATGTGCTTAAAGGGTGACAACACTTTGAAGATCCTGGCTCTGACAGGATCTTTGTTACACTCTGCTTCTTTTAGTACTGCTGAAACAATCAAGCAAGGGACTCTTGACTCTTATGTATAATATTAAGCTTTTCCCTGGTGGAGAATTTAGATAGACAGGCAAAGCTTAACTTGGAAAAGACAGTTTTATGAAACAATTTCTGTAGCAGTTGAGAACTTGTGTTAGATATTACTGAGTGATGGCAAATAAGAGATCCCATTTAACAATTTTTTAAAGGAATGTTCTGCAGGACCAGTCAGTTTAAAATAAGGCTAGAGATTCCTTCAATCATAGTGAACTAGGCTCAGACATTCAGTGCACAGTTGGCCAGCAACAATATATAAAGTTTATAAATCAATCTCCAAAGATACAAGATACAATACGTTAAAATAGTAGAACTGGAGTTTTGCTTTCTGGAAAACAAACATCCCTGGCCTTCCCTTCCAGCTGATTTAAATATTCAAATAAGTGGTCATGGCTGAAAGGAAGCTATGCAAGTATTTCCATAGATTACAGTACCTGCAGAATAAAAGGCAACACACCAAAGAAATTTACATACATGTCATTTCTGCTTCCTCCGTATTGTTGCATGGAAAAAAAAGTTTTTCTTTTTTTGTTCATGTATTAAATCTTTGTTTCCTATGCTGCTCTTCCACAGAGTCATAATGTGAAGTGGCAGTTCTGAGTTGCCATCTGAAGGAGAAAGCTAGCTAAATCTAACTCACAGGTCTTTCCTAGCAGCTGCTAGTGGTGACTTATTTGAATCGCAGCCTTTTGCTCTCATTTGAAGCCAAAATAATCTATCGATGGAATTAAGTACCAAAATACATTTTAAAAGTTTTCCTTTTTATAGAAAATGAAAAAAGTTCATATCAGAAATTACAATCTATTTTTTCCTGACAATAACCAAATTAAGACAACCTATCATACTTTAAAAGTTGGACTGAAATATTGGCTTTTGATTGGACCTCAAAACACCAGTCTTGTTATAACATCTGTTATACCTCACAAGATTACATTTTAGAATTCCCTATACAGGCAGATTAAGTCAGGTCCCCAAAATAACATTTTTACTTTCTTTGTGTGTCATGATACTAAGGTACTGTGCATTTCACCAGCACAGAGTATACTAACTCTCTACCAGTTTTGTAAGACAAGGATATCAGGGGCAGGTTTCCTCCTCTTGTCTGGGATAGGAACAGGATCATTTGGTCGCCGCCTCAATTTCCTCGTCATGATAGGCTTCACTTCCATAGAATCTGTAGGAAAAAAGATGGATAGCTGATGGTTAAGACCACAGAAATTCTAAAAAAGGAAGATAAGGAAAGCTGACAAGGTATCAGCAAGTTTCCATACAAGACAAACACGGAAAACAATCTTTCTTCCATAGTGAGAATTTCTCTACTGCAATTGTCAGCACTCACTATACTGAGACTAGTAGAATGCAGGGCAGATTTGCATCTTATAGACTGACCAAAGTATAATATATTAATCACAAGCTTTCATTAGCTAACACTTAATCAGATGTCACATCTGACAAACTGAGCTTCAGCTCACGAGAAGCTTGTGCTATGTAACTACTTTGGTGTATCTCTATACTGAGACTGCCAACAGAACTGCCAGATTCCTCAGGGTATCAGTAAGAAATTGAGTTAAATGCAGCATTGTGACATCATGATGACAGCTATGCCACATCAGGCAATTATTTTTTAAAAAGCTACAATAAGGAGGTTTTTGTTAGATACAGTTGAATGAAGTAATGTGCTACTTTAAAATCTCAGAACAAAACAATTTTTGTGATATTAAGGACAAAAACACCTGCTCTGAACCAGAGACTTTTCTGGACTTGTTTATAAAATCTCTTGAACCAACAAAATATTAATTAATATTTTAAACAGGTTTCCAGCCAACAAGTCATTGGTATTTCTTTTTTATTACTAGGAAAGAGTTATATTGGGAACACATGGAAAATTAGGGCATGCAAGGGCAATAAAACTTTGTTCAGGTCGTCTAAAATTCACAGAAATCATTTAATTCCAGAAGATCTCACTCCAAACTACAGCAAAGTTCACATCATTTGCCACTGACCTACACTCACAGAAATGGAACAAACATTTTAGCACAGAACTAGAAAAAATATATATATTCAGCTGAAATGGCAAGAGGAATTTAAGTATGAATAACTACTTAATTTGGGATCTGGCTAAGAGTCCAGAGCTAATCTTAAATGAACCATTTAATTCAAACAACTCTAATCATGTAAACCCAAAATATATATAGGTGCTCTGATTCAGAAGGAGGGAGACTACAGAAATACTATACCACTGAGGACAGAGACCAAATCTGCCTCAAAGTGAATTCTTTGAGCAATGAATAGCATCTACTGTTAGTTTCCAAATGGAGTTTCAACCACTTGGTTTTGATCAGAACTAAGATTTTCACAATCAATGACAAAGAGCAAGACAGAGAAAAAAGCCCTCTGGGTAAAAATCTTTTCCCTCTTTATCCCACCCAAGTACTATACTTTGTCCCAAGTGAGATCTCTCAGCATTGTAAATAAAAATGATGCACCTCACATTCTGTATTTTTCCAGTATGCTTAATGAGCATTTCTAAATCAAATTAAACCCTACATAGAAGAGTAGAAAACTGAAATATGCTAGACTTCAGTTCAAGACCTTCATTAAAACAAGAGGAAGAGTACTATAGTTTAATCAAACACCACCTATGAAGTAGAAGCTCAACAGTTTTTTGAAAAAGGACACCAATACAGGCTATTCTTAACCAGTATGACTAATGAGCATGTCAGAATATTATTCGATTGCCAAAAAATGAATAAGCTTTGGAAATTGTAATAAGATGGAAAAACTTCTTTCAAAATTCTACCTAAATACATCTACCTCTTTGGTTAAATTTCTTTCAATTTAACAAATACATACAAGTATAAGTATTTAAGCACAGAGGCTGAGGTTTTCTAAGCTAACTAGGGGATTCAACCACAACTTTCATGGATATTAATGCAAGTTGTATGACTAGATTCCCCGACACCCTTAGTTTTGCACATCTTAATGTAGGCAGCTATCAGAAGTACTCAAGATTTCAAGTAGCATGTGATGAAATCCAGGATGAGAATGCTTATTTGTGTTTGCATGGAATATTTACAATCGCATGCAAACTTTGTCCAAGTTAAATGTAGGCAGCTACATTAGACACTCAGGCCCACTTACTATGGAAGTTATAAGGACGCTCTTATTTGAATACTGTGCTTAACCCTGTCAAAGTAACAGCTTGTGGACAAGACCTGAAGACCTAACTGTAAAAAAAGATTTCTTATTATGGACAAATGTTTCAGATATACTCCAAAGGATGTAAAAGTCACGTGTCTTCCTGCAAATGACTACAGGATGTGAAAGGTTTGTGTTGTGTGACATGGATGCCTGGCACAACAATGGGGAGTACGTAGCATGGAAGCTCATTTATGAATATGGATGTCTACATGAAAATTGACTTAACTGGGAGCATTCCAGTAGTTTAAATGCTCATATTCTTGTTACAAAGAAGCCAACAACATAATCCAGTCAGCACCGCTGAGGCCTCACCTTAAGTATGGCTTCCAATTTTGGGTCCCACACTTCAAGAAGGATGTGGACACACTGGAAAGAGTTCAATGCAGAGCAACCTATATGACTAGGGACCTAGAAAGCAAGATTTATGAGGAAAGGCTGAAAGATTTGGGATTATTTAGTCAGGAGAAGAGAAAACTGAGAAGGGATTTAATAATAGTCCTTAAACACCTGAAAGGCAATTATAGAAAGGATGAAGATGGGCTTTTTCTGTGCCCATAGAAGGCAAGACTAGGAGCAGTGGCCTCAAGCTGCAACAGAGGAAATTTAAATTGGAGACTAGGAGAGAAAGTAGACTCAAATACCCTAATTATGA